GTGGTTTTTTATGTATGTTAAAAATTCAATATGCATTCACAGAATATGAGTTGTTGTAAAGGAGAATGGCTTCACAATACTTGAAATGAAATTTACATTTTGTTTTCTCCATTTGTTTTGGTAGAACTTAAAAGCAAGGGCTCCTTTGTATTAAGCGTTACGCAAACAAGTGGAAAATCGTCAGTGTGTACCCCAAACAATTCTCATGGTGTGAAAGATGAGAAGTAACAGGTGGGTGGGACAAATAAGGACAGTGGTGGGAAAAACAAAAATTAAGGGAGTGTGGGGTTTTTGACTGAAAATTTGAGTGCAATTTTTACAAAGTCTATTTATAACCGTTAAAAAGCTGCTTTGGATATAGCTTTATTCATATTGCTGTGTTTGGGGAAAAGAAGATTTCTAAACCCCTGAAGGAATTTTGTAGTAGTCTCTGTTGTGAAACTTTGGCTGAGCTTTCTGCCTCTTTGCTTAGGAGAGGTTTTTCTCTGAGGCGGAGTCTCTTTATTAAAGGGAAAAGGTAAGAAATGAAAGAGAATGTTCCTCCTTTTATTTTGTGTTGGAAGGAGTGGGAGAACAGAATGTAATAGCTGCGCCCACTAGTGCCACTCTGGGTACGGGTCTGTCAGCATTTCTTCTGTTGGTGCCCCCACCCTCTCTGCCAGTGTTAGCTAGCTCCTACCTTGGACTTCAATTAAACCGTGAGCTGGAAACTGCTATGTGAAGTCTCGTCTTGGGCAGCTGGAACGTGGGAAAATAACAGAAGCCGTGGTCTCAGATTTTCTTTTCTCTGCAGTCTCAAAGCTGAACTGATAAGAGTTTAACCTGTAATTCTGAAAACTCTTCACCCATAATGCAGCACTAGGCAGAGGTAAATTAAGGACACGGCTGTTGCTCCGCTGCTGTGCTTTTGTTGGCTTCAGTGAGATTCTGTCATGTTATCTTAAACAATAGCTTTCTGTGGGTGAATCTGTATAGCAATTATACTAAAGATACATTATAATAACTCTCAGCTGTTCTGTACCTGTGTATTCAAGCAGCTGTTCTAGAGTTTCTACAAATTAAGTATTGCTCTGCTGTCTTTGTCATTACCAGAGAAAACTTTCTAAATCAGAAGTTAACCTTTCTGTGCGTGGTGTTGTGCAACATTTCAGATTTTATTAGTGTTCAGAATGAATTCAGTTTCCAAGCAGAGCCACTTCCCAGAAGCCTTCCCTGTTTTATTTTTTAGAGTGTCTCACCATCCCCCAGGCAGCTGCTGTTGGACTGCACAATAAACATTCAAGTTGGCATTTTAGTAGTTGTCCTGAAATTGAAATAGTCAATATTTTTAAATGTCTGACTATTTTTAACAACTCCATTTTGTTGGCAGGCTTTGGTATCACTTAGAAAATGTTCCAGTAAGAGCCAGTAAGATTTGAGGTTTTTTCAGTCTCCAAGAATGGATACATAATAAAAAATGGAAGGAAATCAAAATGCAAGGAAACCAAAGCATTAAAATCCTAGAGATCTCTTTTCCTCTTTATTCTGATTTGGGTACTAATGCTAAATTATGTCAGACTAAAAGAGAAGAAAATGTCATGTTGCTTAGTTAGTTGTTAACGGCGATATTTTACAGATTAAGACTTACCAGAAGATCCTTGATATCTTCATGGACTTGCTGTCAGCGATCAGGGGTCCAGACTTGTTCAGTCCACATAAACAGCCCTGGCTGTGGGGTGTGTTCTTGGAAGAGGCGTTTCCTATAGCCTACTTCATTTTGTACCAGCTTAGCGCATTGATGCAGCAGAGGGGGACATGGGCAGCAAGGCGGGAGCAGAGAATCGCCAAATGTGATAAAAGCTGGAAGTAGTGTTAAAGTAACAGGATCTCTTTTTTCATTAATCTGTCTGGAGAACATCAGAAGTGAGCAGTGCTGGGTTTTGTATGCAAAAGCTTAAATTCACATTCTTCCTCCCCTCCCCCTTCCTCTTTTGGTGCCCCGCAATGATGAATGGTTGGGGAAGGCTTTGGGGCATATAACAAACTTCTGACTGATCACCCTGAACCTTCAATTTCCAATAGATGTTTCCTGGCAGCTGGTGTAATTTCTCTCTGAGCTCTGTTTGAATTATTTATTTGTTCATCCAATAAGCCTATTAAACAGAGCACTTAAGCACTTGCTACATCAGACTTCTCCTGCTTTTTCTTTCTAGGTTACATTAGGTTCAACTTGAAAATGATAGGTTCTGGAGTCAGGCGACTAACTACGTCTATATATACATGTATAGATAGATATATACTGTGTGTGCCACAAACATAACATTCATGCGTCTTTGCCATGTAATGATGGATGACTTGTGACTCATTGTACTAGAATATGCCTCAAAATGTGTCATTACAACACTTGTTTTGTGGGTCACTTATTTGTGTTGTGTTTCTTTGTTCACTGTAAGAATATCGTGCAATTGTTCTTATAACAGATGAAAATGTCACTCTTAAAAATTATACATTCATATGTCTGGTTGATTCCTGAAATTATGCACTATAAATTGTTCTCGGGTTTTTACTCCTTCCAAGCCTAAACAAAATTGAATTACTTAGCATATGTATTCCATAAAAATCTTACTTAATAAGCTATGGTTATGTTTCAGTAAGATAAGCATGGTTTAGATCTGATCTAACTGTAGTAATGAAAACCATGATAAATGAGTCTTAATTGGGCCCCAGCACAGAGTCTTTCAAGAACACAGACATGAAAACCCTGATGTTTTTCAGAAACCCGCTAGAAGTTTGTGTTGTATTTCAAGCACATGCTGGAAGTACACAGGTTATCACAATCTTGTCCTCTTTGGTTTGTTTCCATTTAATTGCTCAGTCAGTAGAGATCTTTATTCACACATGGCATTTATCTTCCTCTTAGCTTCTCCCTGACCAGCTGGTCTTACTTCTGGAGTCTCTCTTGGAGGAGAAGACGTTGTGTCCTAGAATACTGCAGTGCTTAGAGAAGACGTACCAGCTCCGGGAGCAAGATGCTGAGGGTTATCACAATCTTGTCCTCTTTGGTTTGTTTCCATTTAATTGCTCAGTCAGTAGAGATCTTTATTCACACATGGCATTTATCTTCCTCTTAGCTTCTCCCTGACCAGCTGGTCTTACTTCTGGAGTCTCTCTTGGAGGAGAAGACGTTGTGTCCTAGAATACTGCAGTGCTTAGAGAAGACGTACCAGCTCCGGGAGCAAGATGCTGAGGAATTCACTTTAAAAAAAAAAAAAAAAAAAGTCCCTAACATACGCCATTGCATTGTTGACTAGGAGTGATAGTGTTCCACTAGGATCCAGGCTCATTTAAGTTCTTTTTTCCATGTCTAACTCTGAAATTGAATGTTCTTAACTCCAGAATTGTTGCATCTTCAGATGCCTTTATTACTCAGTATTTCTGCGTGTTTTGTGTAGGTCCAGGTGTGTTTGCATACTGTGGTAGTAGGAGACAGTGCAGCCTAGATGTCATTGCTATTGTACATGTACCTTGGGCAGCATATTTGCTCAAGTGTTAAATTTCTCGTTAGGTCATGGTGACTGTGTATTAGAGCCCAGTTCATTTTAGTTGTGTGTATTGTCTCCAAGTGCAATAGTTATGGTCTAAAATTATTCTTCCCCATGGTCAGCCCGTATTGTTCCTCTTTGAGTGGTCCAAAGTCTCACTCAGGATTTAGAAAAGTTTGCTTTCCAGACTACAGTATGTTCTGGTTTTGGGCATGAGTTTAAGGGGGAATCAGTTCTTTACAATTGCTTCTAGTAAGTGCCAGGGATATTAACAGTCCCTGAGGAAAAACACTGTTTTATATGATATTGTAAATGTGCCTTCCCCATCACAGGCACATATGAGGCTAGCATCCCTGCTCCAAAGAGCTTAATGTCTTTGGGGGGCAAACCAGTAAATCCTTATTACCACATGCAGTGCTGGCTATTTTGTAGAGTCCCATGGATTTCTCAAGCTGGGGCAGTTGTGACAACTAAGGCAGCAGAAATTGTGGCTGAAGGCCCCCTTTCAATGAGTCTTTGCTTCGAGTACATAGTATTCAGGAGGGGAGGTGAGAAGATGGAATCAGTCATGAAAATAAAGGATGTGTAGATTTATATATAAACAAGGGTTAGTTATGAAGTAGCTTATGATCAAACTAATGTGCAATGAGGGAGCATGGTAAACTTCACATGACATTTGACTCTTGTTTAATTAAAAACTACTGTGAAGGCTGCGGAAAGTCAGTGTGCATGACTTACCCTGCTATAATTGGAACTTTATGGCAATAATTAAAATTGAAGGAGAGAGCAAAATCTCTCTTGTTGGTCTTATGCTGAAGTTGCTGGGTGAATGCTGATAAACACTTGGGAATTCAAACATTAACGTAAAGACGGATAGAACAGAGGTCTAGCTTTTTCTCAGAAAAAAATGGACAACATTTCAACTGTTGCCATTTACTGCACCTTTTTACTTTTTTGTTGATACAGGTTTCCAAAAGCCAGATTTGTTTTTAATTAGTACTTGAACCAACATTTCTATTCATAGGTATTGGAATATATTTTAATCGCATCTGAATACCAGTGAAATGTCAGGGGTTCTATAATGGGAAGAGGAATTAATAGGGAGATAGATCAAAGCAATAGCTGTGGTGTTGCTGCTTCATGCCTGTGAATTGTAAGCACCAGGCCACAAGCTTTGGTTTCTCAGGTTTTTCCTTTCTTTCCACTTTCATGCTTTCTTTCTTCTTTGCAGTTTCATATAAAAGCACACAAGCGATCTGTCAGAATTTTTTCTTTTTTAAAAAAAAACAAACCAAACACAAAATTACGGCCTCAGTGAAAGGAGCATAATCTCCATTTTATTTTACAAGGTGAAACCAAGGGCTTAGCAGACGTTGAGGAGTACAACTAAGATACCATTACCATTAGCATTTTACCAGTCATCAGATGCCAGACACCTACAGTCCTTTAAAGGGAACATTAGCTTACACACCCTCACATACCTAAGGGAAGAACTTTTCATGCCTCTTTCTCCAGTATGTGCACAGGGGATTTTTCTTGTCATGACCCAGGGACAAAGAACGCAGTCCAAGCCTCTAGCTGAGCTGTTCTCGTCTAGGTTTGATTTCTGAAGACATGAATCACTTACAGTGATCCTGTTGCGTTACTGGAGTTTAAATGTTCTCAGTAACTAAACGTCAAAAACGGATCATTAAAAATACAAGCATAAAAAATTGGAGGCAGGCCAATAAGAAAAGAAAAATGTCAATGTCAGAGGTTTTATTCAGGGATTTTTTGTAAGTAACATTGTCAGCTGTGTTCCATCCAGCGGCAGAAAGTTAAGAAATAAGAACTTGTTTTCTTATTTTTGACAAGTAGCGTTTAAATTCACATTAATCTTTTGATAGGGATTAGCAATGATATGGCCAGTAGTATGTGAGAGTGGTACACAAAGACGTATGTTTTTTTGTATTTTAAACAAAGTTAGGTCTTAAAAATTGAACATAAAGTGTTGTCTGTACACTTGGGAGTTGGAAGGCTTTCCCTGTATGTATTGTAGGTAGCTAAAAGGCCTTCTTACAGCATCAGAGGGAATATAAAGAATAGCATGCCTATGTGCTGCTGAGTACTCTTGCAAGGGCAAGAATTTCCACATAAGCACTACAAAGTGTGGAACAAAGTAAACGATTTGGATAATCTCACCTTGTCAGGTAAGTGTGTTGGGGGGAGTAAAGGGGACAGTTGCCTGGTGGATTTTACTGTTGGGATGAAATCAGTAGAGAACCACCCCCCTGTCTCTGCCCATTTAAAGGACCTCAGTGTTCTGTACGGACACGTCAGTCCTGTAGCACGCTGGCACTGAAGCACCACACCGAAGCTAGCACTGGGAAAGTACTGGGGAAATGTTGCCCAAGGTTGCTTGAGCCTGGTTGACTGGAAATGCGATCGATGTGCATTGGGCTTGTTTTGTCTTGGAGTTACTTTACAGTTCACCCGTCGAGAAGCCTGTGTAACACAGCTCACTAACTCAAGTTTCACAAATGCTGCAGTAGAGCTCGTTACTGGGGGTCGTTTTGTCCTACACAAGTAACAGCATGGGAAGTCCTGGTTCATGTTTCTTAAAGCTTTCATATCTATTTCTGAAGCATCTTTATTTCGACTTTAGAGTTCAGCGCCCTTGTTGTAAAATGGTGTGCACCTGGCGGTGTCTGCACTGGCTAACAGCGACATGCAGGTCTGTCCTTAGTCAGTGAAGGTTGCCAACAGCATTATTTGGTACTCCTGACCACTTGTTACCACATGCACGTCCAGTCTTACCAACATAAGGGCACACCTTACTTCAGAAAGGAGAGGAGGGTTTGCAGCAGGTTATCTGCCTTGTTTTGGTTCCCTCGTAGCAGCCAGGAGAGGAGAGAGGTGTGAGTCAGCCTTTGCCTGGGATTTAACTGTTGATTGCTCTTCAAGGAGTGCTCAAGCTGTGTCCTTCCTGGGATCTTCTCAGCAGCTCAGCGTAGTTCCTGTCCTCTCTTAAAAGAGGTCTCACCACAGATATGTAGCTTCAGAGGAGATATAGGAGGTCAGTGGTAGCCTCTCCCTTCTAAGACAGACACCGATTTGAATGCTTCAGCTAAAAAAATAATCAGAGGTTAGGTAACGTATTTCTGATTCATAATGGATAACACATCTCTGATAGCAACCTTTCAGCTGCAAGAGCCAGAAGTGAGATACTGATGGCTTAATCACATTTCAAATTGGTCTGCCCCCAGTCTTGGATGCTACAAGAGACTTGTAGGGCATCTGCCTAAGTGCAGAATTTGTGACTCCCTCCTATTTTTTTCAGTACGCTTCTATAACAAATCATGATTTAATTTTCCATTTACTGTTCAAACCTTGGAACAGCTGAGAAGGCACAAAACTACAAGTTTGTTTTCCAGAAATTAAATTCACTGATTTGAATTATTTGAATTGAGCATATCCACTATATCTTTAAACAACATTTTGAGAGCAATGGAAGTTTCAAAGTTTAGAGCCATTTTTCCATCACCTCTCAGTGCCTTGAGCCCATCGTGGCTCAGACCTTGTCAGTGGGAGGCAATTGCATGGAAGAATGATTGTGTCCTCAGTTTTCTCTTCCTGTTCCCTATATTCTTGCTGTGCTGCTTCCTGCTACATACTAAGATGGCTTATAGACAGGCTACATTTCCATAACGTACCACGTCCTGTGTCCAAGAGAAGCATTCTAGAAGCTGGCTGCCGTTTGAAGATGACAAAGTCCAGCTGGAAGTTCAGCTGACTGAGGAGAACTGGGATATGTTATAAAGCAGCTACAGTTGCCATCAGACAGCGCAGCAGGATAATAGAATTGAAGGTGGGTCTGGGATTGGTGGTGTTTTGTTTCTTTCTGAGGTGGCCGTTTTATGCAGATATTTAATTTATTCAATATCTAGCGTCTGGCAGAACATGGAGAGTTGGTCTACATGGAAAGTTTCTGGTTGCTAGTATTTTTTTAAGTCCATCTAACCTTGATGACACCTCTTTTGATATGACTATGCAAGCTTATCTTGTTTGAGCATAGGCTGTTGAGGACTTTCGTTTAAAAAAATTAGAATCAGTTAGTTACAAATATCTAAAGACAACACTGGGAGCTCTGGATAACAGTGAATATGTTAACTAGAAGAACCCTGTAATTATTTCCATTATTTCTGTTCTAACATCTTCGTTTGGTCAGGGAGAGACCTGTAATGTGTGTGTACACAAGATCACAGGACGGCTGAGTAGCCTGCAGAATAAAAAAGGCAACAAGGAAAAGATCACTGAGGCCATAGGAGAAGGGCAGTGGGTGTGTGCCTATTTAAGAGTCAGTCCTATTTAAGACTTGACAATATTTCTGCAAGTGTGTTTTACTTGTTGCTGAATTGTCTAAGACCTGGTGATAAAAAATATAGAATGTGGATGAAGCAGAAAGATTTATGGTGTATTTCCCCAGACTTTTCACCATAGAGTTAGCTTTTCTTTCTTTCCTACTGCAGGC